AAAAAGAAAAAAGAAAGAGGGAAAAGAAGGGAAAGGGCGGGAAAATGACGGCAACGGCGCAGGGAGTGCGTGCCCCCCCCCCCACCCGCACTCCCCACGCAGCGAGCATCACCGCACCGCCTCGCAGGCGCCACCCCCAGCGCCGCAGAAGAAGATGATTAAAACCAATACAAAAACAAAAACAAAAGGCAAGGAGCCCACGCGTGCAGCAGCCGCAACGCCGGCAGTAGTCGGCATGCAGACGAGGACACCAGCGGCGAGGCAAACCCTCGCACACGCACGCGCACAGCGACAACGACGCGGCAAGGAGAAGAGCAAGTTGTTGCCCAGCTCCCCTCCTCCACCTCCCCTTCGCTTCCTCTCTCTTGTTCCGGGTTCTGTTTTTTTTTGTTGGTTTGTTTGTTTGCTCGGTTTGTTTTTGTTTGGTGTTGGCGTTATTCGAACTTCAGCACGTCCGCGTTTGACTCTCTATGCGACCGCTCCTCTCCCTGCGTGTGCGGCAGCGCCGGCAGCAGCCGCTCGACGCATGGGGCGACGGTGTGCACCACGGCCACGGCGACAAGTATGCTCGCGACGGGGAAGAGGATTTGAATGTCCTGCAGAAACTGAAAGTCCATGCCTCCCCCACGCGCGTGCGGCGGCTTCCTACCAGGCGGAACTGTAAAAAAAAAAAAAAAAGGTGCAAAGACAAGAACGAAAAAAAAAGGGGGAAAAAGGAGAGAAGTTGCACGCACGCCGCCCAGTCATTTTTCTGTTTAACCACCCCACCGCTGAGCTGAAAAGCAGAAACACACGCATGCAGGCAGGGAGAGGGGCATATGTATAGATGCATAGACGCACACCCACGCTTCTCCACCGCCTCGCTGCGCCGCGGCAGGGCCGACCCCAAGTAGCCGACGGGCGCACACGTCAGTCCGAGTCACTGTGGCTGAGACGGTACAGTTGCCGACGCAGCCGCGCCTTCTCGGCGTCCACCACCTGCTTGCTGCGGAGGATCAGCGGCAGCCAACTCTCCTCCAGGCTTGACTGCAGCAGCAACAGTCGCCCTTTACTCATCTCCTCCAGAAGAAAGGCAACTAAATTCACGGCGTAGCGCGTCAGACAGAGCTCCAGCAGCACGCACAAGATGCGCGGCAGTGCGGCATAAAAGCCGATGCACGAGCCCCCCGCAGCGTCACCCCCTTCGTGCAGATGGCCGCCTGGTTCTAGCGCCTTGTACCTCCCCCGCCAATTCTGGTGACGGTCCAAGACGCCACTCTCCTCGTCGTAAAGGCGCCAGCCGTAAAAGCGAAGGAAAACCACGTAGCTGTAGTGGACGCGATCCATGATGCTGGGATGCCGCAGCTGCCTGTAGTCCTCCCACGCTACCGGACGATAGAGTTCCCAATCGGAAATGGCAGAGTTTGCGGCACACTCCCCGTTCGCCCCCATGCTGGCGTCACCCGCGTCCGCCGCTGCACACCTCTCTGTCGTCCCGCCAAACCGCAGCGAAGGCAGAAGAAGCCAGAGCAGTCGGTTCCAGTTAAGCCGCAGCAGCTCAAGCCCATCGGAGCTAGAGAGTCGTGCTGAATGCTCCTCCTCTGTGGCGCATGCCCCGTTCCGGCACGGCGGCAGGAGTGCCTGATGAAGGGCAATAACCTGCAGGCAACTCTTATCCTGCCGCACCTCTCCCGCCTGCCGCGGGGGAAGCCGCACTTCTACGGGGCGAGTACCGCGATAAAATGACACGGACGGATGCTCCCCAACGTGCACGCCCGCTGCCGCCGCCTCCTCGGCCTTGTGCCGCAGCGTCGCCAGAAGGGCCTCGAGATCGTCCACCAGCCCCGGCGCCGTCTGCAGCGACACGGTGGGAGACTCCTGCCGGCAGTCGTGGCTCTGCCGCATGCCGCGCCGTCTGGTTCTCTACTGGGTGGCAGAAGAGTCCGTGGGGCGTTGAGGAAGAGGAGGCGGCTGCCGCAGCGCAGCAGACTAAAGACGGCAACGGGGGAATCAAGACACAGGGGCACAGAAGCCGCAGCCGCCGCAGTACTGGTGTGCCTACTTCGCAAAGGGAAGGGAAGGCGAGGCGAGGCGAGGCGAGGCGAAGCGAGGGGCGTTGTGCGGCACCAGACGCACCCACGAGAAAGCGCGGGCACACACACAGAGAGAGAGCAAAAAAAAGAAAGGCCACCAAACGGGGGGCAGCCAAAGAGATAATAATAATAAAAGCGCCCTACGCGACCACCCCCGCCTCTCTCCCACCCCGTTTTCTCCAGCCATGCTTACACCCAGGACGAGGCACACGCACTGCGTGACTACGCGGGGAGTGATCCTGAAGAAGGGAAAGGGCACCGTTGGTTGACTCTTCGCCGTGAAGTGTGTAGTTTTCATTCGCCCGAGCGACGATCAAACGGGTGCAGCTTCGGCAGCGCTATCACCGGCCGCGCCACAGGGGCGCCACGGTAGCGCCCACGAAACAGCTCCGTGTCTCCGTACGGCGCCGGCAACGAGCCCTGCAACGGCCTCTCCCCAACGCCGCCGCCACCCACCCGCCACTCAAACCCAAATTGCAGCACGTCCTTTAACTTCTTCGCCTTCTCCAACTCCTGCACATCGTGAAGCGTCCCAACCAGTCTTTTGTTCACAAACAACAGCGGCAGCTCGGGGGTTTGGCTCACCCCAAGCAACTGCCTGCGGAGAGGGTCGGCGTAAATGTGGTGGTCCAGCTGCACCACCTTCAGCCGGGTGCAGTACCAGGCCACGTAGTGGCGCAGGTGACCCGTTTCAATGGGGCGGGCGCCAACGGTGAACACCACAGCCCAGTAGCGCTCAAGGTAGTCCTTTAAAGGAGGGTGAGAGAAACGGGCGCCAGCGCTCGGAAGAAGACGCCGGTGCGCTGCTGCGCCACATGGACGACGGCAGGGGCGCCCACGCACAGACACAGCACACTGCGGCCGCGGCGAAGGATGCGTAACATGTTTGGTTGCAGGGGGGGAAAACGCGCGGAAAGACGCAGAGAAAAACATAAATGGGAAAAACAAGGACGGATGGGAAGGAGGAGCATGCAGATCTGACACGCAGGGACTTTCGTGGAGGTGAGGGGAAGGGAGGGCGTTAAGCTGCCACTGGCAATGAGTCCCCAGCAGCCGCAGGTGGCAGAGAGGGATGGACAGGAAGGAACAGGAAGCGTGATAGCAAAAGAAAAAGAAAAGAAAAAAAGGTACAAAAACGGGAAGGAAACGACAGCAGCCAAAGGAAGCGTCTCCAATACGCCGCCTCGCTGCGGTGATCTGCACCGCCCCGTCGGGAGACGCGTGCTCTCTGTAAATGAAACGCCAGAGGGAATGGAGGGGAGGGAACAACAAGAACAAAAAAAAAGTCCGAATGTATATAAATACAAGTCTGTTCCTAGAATAAAAAAAAAAGAGGCGGAGAGAGAGGAGGACGCGCGTGCTTGCGATAGACACTCCGCACCCTCCGCAATGTCGTTGTTGTTGCTGCTGCTGTTGGCGTTGTTGCCATTTTGCCTTTCCATTTCCTCAGCCGTTCATAGACGTCTCTCACGAGGAATTCACTCCGCCGGGTCCGCCTCATGCGTTGCTCCCCGTACAGTGTTTCCTTGACTTGGGCAACAGGCCGCGGCTGAAGGCCCGCATGGTGTGCAGGTCGCGCTTGTCGAGCCCCATCTCTAGCGCAAGCTGACGCGTGCGAAGCGGCAAGAACTCGTTTTCCGGCGACACCTCCCGCATCATCGCGGAACACGTCAGTCTATGTCCCTCCCACCTCCGCCACTCAACAGCTCTGCCGCAGTCTAAGCAAAGCACAATCTGGTGCTTCTCCCGGTGCGGCTCAAGCCGCTCAAGCGGGATGCGCGTGTTGCACTCGCTACACCACCGCACCTGTCGGATGCAGTGGTCCCAGTGCTTGTAGAACTCATTTGTAGGCACGTAGGATTTGCAGTTGCGGCACCACTGCTCCGCCGCGGTGGAAAGCGGACGGTTGGCGATGCGCTGATAGTAGATGCGCGTGGGTTCGTGGATCATTCCATCCAGGCGCACAAAGTCCTGCGTCCGCTCGATAACAAAGTCGTCAAAACTGCGCATGCGGGCGAGCAGGTTGCCAAGGTCGTTGGTGTCCGCGAGGCGGTGGCAGTCGATGTTCACATGGTATGTATGCTGGTAGTTGAGCATATTTAGTGGGGAGATGCTCTGGCGGGGGAACAACGGGAATTGCTGAATCTCGTAGCGCACTTCCGGGTAAAACGGGTGGTAGACGCTGACACGCATGCGGGGTACATCGACGGTGCGATGCACGGATGGAAAGTGCACCACCAGCACGTGCTCCTTCACCTGCAGCACCTCACCGACGGTGCCAGCGGGCACCCCAAAGGACGCAGGCGCGTCTAGCAAAAGATGCACCGTGGAGCCCACGTCAAGGTTCAACGAGTCCACGAGGGAGAAGGCCGGCGGCATGGAGCCCTGCAACAGCATGTTCACGACGTAATTCCCAATCTCCGTCCGCTTCAATGTTCGAAAACGAGGTGGCAGTACGCGAATCGCCGGCTGCTTCGGAAAACGGGAAGTAAACTTTATGATGGCCTCCACGTTGGAGATTAACTTCTGCGGTGGCAGCGTCGCGCCGTGAGCAGAGAGAAGACTACTGCCGGAGTTGCCGTGACTATTATTACGGGGCTTGTTATTATGTTTATTATTCCCGCGCCGCGCAGCCGCGGCTTCATCATCGTCGTCGTCGTCCTCCTCCTCCTCCCCCTCAGCCTCCGTGCCGCCGTCTTCGGCGTCGTCTCGCGCGGCCGACGTGTCCACCGCCGCCGAACGGGCCTCCAGCTCCTCGATGTCACTTGGGGTGAGGAGGCCGAAGTGCGCCTTGCTGACCAGCGCCGTGAGCCGCCGCGACTGCCCGTGAATTTTCTCCAGCAGCCGCTGCCGCGGGAAGAGCTCGTCCCAGTTGTCCAGCTGGAAAATGTAGCCGCCCGTGTCACTGCCGGGGTGCACAGGCATGCGCCAAAAGTCGGCCGCCGCAAACACGCGCAGCCCGCCGAACGCCTCCGTCGGGCGTCCACGCAGGCTGCGGCAGACGCGGTCCATGGAGACGATGATGGTGGGGGCGACTTGGTCCACCGCGTCGAGGACGACCACGTCCGCCGTCGCCAGACTAGGGACGCAGGCGGCGTACGTGGACTCGCACAGGCGGGCATGTCGCTCCAGCGCGCCCTCCAGCTGATCCTGCGAGGGAAGCTCGTTGCGCCCCAGGTAGCGGAGCCCAAGGAAGTGGTAGAGCATCATTCCCTCCAGGCGGCTCGCACGTCGCGCATCCGCAGACACGTACGCCACCTTCTTCCCCTCCCTCTCACACGCCTCCCCAACAGGCTCTCAGAATCGTCATTTTGCCGGTATGGTGGGCGCCGCAAAAGATGATGTTCTCCTCGGAGGCGAGAACATCCGCCACGTGCCGCTGCGTGCTCGCCGCGTTTTTGTGCCGCAGTGCGTGGATGTCCCCCTTGAAGCCGCGCGCGTCCACCTCACGCACGAGGTGGCCAAAGCCCCGTGCCGCCGTCAGGAGAATTGGCGCGAAGGCCACAGACTTTCTCGCGACGGGCGCGAAGGCCATCAGCCGGCACAACCCACCCGCACGTGTCTTCCCGTTGGCGGCTGCAGGCACCAGTCGACGCACAATGATGCCGCCAGCAGGGCGCGCCCTTTTTCCGCAGTCACAGGCGGCAGTGAAACGAGGACGAAGCATGCTCCTCTTACTGGTGCAGTAGGCAAGTAGCAAAGGCAAAAAAAAAAAAAGCGCACACACACACACACACAT